TTCCAAAGAGGATGGAGAGAGGCTGTTCTCAGTAGTGACAGATGGCAGAACAAGGAGCAATGGTCTCAAGTTGTGGTGGGAGAGGTCCAGGTTGGATATTAGGAAAAACTATTTCACTAGGAGGGTAGTGAAGCACTGGAATGGGTTACCAAGAGAAGTAGTGGAGGTCTCCATCCCTAGAGGTGTTTAAGTCTCGGCTTGACAAAGCCCTGGCTAGTTCGATTTAGTTGGGATTGGTTCTGTCTAGAGCAGGGGTCTGGACTTGATGACCTTCTGAGGTCTCTTCCAGATCTATGATTTTATGGAGAGCTGACAGTCTGTGCTATTACATAGGTGTAATTCATAAAATCATGTGTGCAAAAAAGACAAAAATGGTTGAGAACTTAAAAACTAGACAGTGACAGAATGCAAATCCAGTAATTACCAAACCTGGTGGTATTCCATACAAAAAGAGCTCTTGCTCGTGCTTGTAGATGCTTTCATCACTTCACGCTGACTCCAAAGACATTCTAGGCTTCGGAATCATGTTTGGGTTTATTGGATATGCTGATTGTGTTACGGGTTTGAGATAGCTGGGGCCAACTAATCTGTCATCTTTGCAGGGTCCCTCATAGTACTAATAAAATTATTGAATGTAAACAAGCTGTAAAAGTGAGTATTTGAATTACCTCAGATATCATAATGGTCTAGAGCTTTTGGCATGGCATAGATCTGCCCTAGGCAAAATACGGCCTCCAGGCTGCATCTGGCCCGCCAAGCCACTGGATATGGCCCATGGACATACCTTGCCTGCACACTGCTAAGAAAATCAGCTCCGGGACTGAAGGCCTCAGGCGCTGCCCCCGCTCTAAGCACAATCCCATTGGCCAGTGTCTGTCTAGAAACTGGCCAATGAATGAATAATAGGCAGCACATGAAGCACCACCACTCCTCTCCTCCAGCTCAATTATTCACACAAGCACATGGCCCTGTAGCCCATGTAGGTGTCAGGTAGGCAAGCAGGTAGGCATTTTAAGCTCTGCAAGTATTTAGCTGTATAGACAGGCAGGTTGGCTGGGCTGCTGGCCGGTAAGTCTCCTGGCCATAGTCTGCCTCTGGCCCCCCCCGCCCCCTCTTAGCCCCTCACTTCCCCAACCCTGTGCCCCCCCACTCAACATACCCAAACCATCTGCCCCCCTCCTGCACCCATACCTCCTCCCAGATCTGGCACCCCAATTACTGCCCCAGATCACAATCCCCTACTACCCTTGGTCAGAACCCAAACTCCTGTACCCCAGGCTCCTCCCCTAAGTCATAAACCAAGCTCCTGCTATAGGTCACAACCCATCCTGCCCTAGATCACATTCCAAAACCCTGCACCACAGTCTCCTGCCTTAGATCACAACTGCCTCCTTTACCCAAACTCCCTCCCAGATCCCACTCTACCTCCTGCATCCAACCTCCATCCTAGATCCCACACTTCCTCCATTAATATCCTGGAAGAGTGCGGCCCTCAACCACTTTCCAAAATCTTGGAGTAGCTCCCCGTTGTAACATAGGCAAAACAAATGATTTTTTCCCTAGACTTTTTTTTTCAGAATTGGCTAAATTGTTATAGCTGAAGTTTTCCAAAACTGATCAGTCTGAAATAGATACCAAGCATGTAAGATTTCACCCCAAAAGGTTAATTTTGGCCAAGTTATAAGCAGGTGAACAAAACTCTTATAATGTGACATATCAGATAACAGATACATTTATAATTATAAATAAAAAATTAAATTAAAAGAATTTTAAGACTGCAAAGTCAAACACTGAAAAGTCTGGAAATGACAGATTTAATTTTGCCTATGCATTCTTTATTTGGCTCTCTTGAGCATGTGCCTATGATAGTTTTTCTCAATATTACAGACTATGGTAAAGTCAGAAATACAGCTCAGCTCTCTTGAATCCAGTTCCAGTGCCTGAAATACAAGAACATTTCCATTCTCCATCCCAGTACACATACCTCATTCAGGGTACATCTACACAACAACATTATTTCAAAATAACTAGTGTTATTTCAAAATAACATAGTTCACATCTACATAGCAGGCAGTTATTTCAAAATAACGTTGAAATGCTGTCAAGCTGGAGGACTTCTTACTCCAACTCCTGTAACCCTCATTGTACAAAGAGTAAGGGAAGTTGGAGGAAGAGTGCTCTATTTCAAAATAAGTGCTATGTAGACGCTCCCAATTTTGAAATAAGCTATTTTGAAATAAGCTATGCAATTGACGTAGCTCAATTTGCGTAACCAATTTTGAGTTAAATCCTGCTGAGGAGATGCACCCTCATTGTTGAAATGAGGGAAGGTCTTGTTGAATAAAAAGTCTGACCATGTAATTAAAGACTGTTTTATAACACATATTCACAAAGGAGCCAAATGAAGGCTACATAGGTACATTAATTCTGGAATTCCTAACTAGAGTGTCCACAAAGGCTCTATTAACAACTTTAAATTTTTCACTGTTGACGATTTGATGACATTCTGAACTTTCACATGAACACACGTTTAGGTTTGAATTTAAAAATGATGATAAATGACTTACCCTCCAGAACACTGGTAATGATACTGACTGCACTTGCTGCCCTTTGTCTTTGAAGTGGCTCATTATAATAATCCCCTGACAGATGAGAGGTTAAATACATCTTGTTTACCTCATTACATAAAGGGCTCTGCTTAAAGAAGTAAACATGATTAGCAAAATATCACAAAACAAAGTGAAGTATTAAGCAAACAGGATAACTGTGGAGGTTAATATGAATGGAGACATGCAGTGAGATAAATGGGTCTCTTCTTCAGGAAATAGCCATTTAGAATGAGTTGTAAAATGAAGTCCCTAATCCCTTGTGTCATTCAAGTTTCCATTGTATTTTCATACCAGTGTTCTGCACAAATTTCAGTTTGGTTAAAGAGGTTCTACCGATCTACAATTCCTCATTTATTGATCTTTCTGCATTTTCTATCCTGTATTTATCTGTAGTGTTTCTTTACATCACTAAACACATGGCATATTGTACACATGTGCCCAAGCAGATAATCTATGCTATAACATTCTATGTACTTTGTTATCCTGACCTCCCTCCCTTTCCCTCTCTTCATACATTTAGGTTGGAATCATATACATATTTGGTGGCTTTGTATGCTTTCAACAAGAGATCATCCATAAGTCCTAACATTTTGCATATCTTTCCCATTCACAATCTTCTCAAATCTTTTATCCTAGAGCAGGATCAACAGGTTGAAGGTCTCCCACTGAGCTTACACATTTTATTTTTACAGTGCCAGCTCTCCTCTGTCCGTGTTATTGCTTCTCATTATGTTTCATCTATTCTCCTCATCCCCAGTGGGAAAATTTTCACACATTACAAAATTTCTGAAATCTCACATAAAACTGTTTCAAAAGACCTGTACCCATATACAGTGAAGCTCTTTATTGTAGTGCATTGAAAGATTATTAAAAATGGTTATATTAGAGGCAGAGTACAATTTTCAAACCATCTTAAAGACTCCACACAAAAGTAAATTTTCATGGTGATACCAAGATTTGTATCTAAGGAGTATCTTCATTCCAGATTACATCATTCTATTGCAGACCATTTCAGCACAAGGGCTGCTCAAAAAAGGTCACATTAATTAGTTTTCATATTAAAAAATGTCTGAACTCATTTTGCTCTAATTTAGTGGAGACCAGACCTATAATCTTTCAGCTTCCCAAAAAATGTGTAAAAGTTATGAACAGCTGAAAAAGGCGGCTTAGAATGGAAATACTTCTATCACTTTAACAACAGTTGTCAACAGCATGAGAACTGTGTTAAAGTCATGTGGCCATTTTCACTGCTGAAGTAAGCAAATGATGATTCCTTTATGTCAATGAAGTTGTCTCTTCTTATTCAAGTGATGAATTTGTTCCACAGTGCCCAGACTGGTTCTGATTCTGTACTCAACTTCGCCATACAGCCGGTCCCCGACTTATGAACGAGTTATGGACCAAACACTTGGCCATAACTCAAAAGTATTTGTAAGTCGGACCCCATTGATTTACATGCGACAGCACTTTTCAAAAGCACAGGTCGCGTTCGTAACTCGGGGACCGCCTTTACGACTGCTTAATGGGAGTACTGGTCAAAATGCGAACAGTTGTAAATTGACTGTTCGTAACTCGGGGACCGGCTGTAATTACTCCAGATTTAAAATAGCATAACAGACAACAGATTTTCTTCAGCAGGTCCTGCCCTGTATTTTGGTGGATATTTAAAATATTAAAGTATGTAAAGAAACCATAGGAAACCTTATGCTTCTACACGAAAACATAATAAGAAGTACATTTTTAAAATTTCACTTTTCTTACCAAATCACCTACTCTAGGGTTTTCCATGACTGGGGTGAGCAATAACCCTTCAGGAGAAAGTGGTTCTAGATTGTATGCCCTGGTGCTTCCTCCTCCCATCAATGAAACCACGCCTTTGTAACCGTCTGTGCTGTTCCATTTGCCATTCTGCATGTAGTTTGGAGTAGCAGGGTAAGAACTATGGCTCATTTGACCTTGCAAACTGAGCTGTCTTCCAGTCCGTGTAACCAGCAGTGACCCATGCTGGATCTCATTTTCCCCAACATTGCTCATATCATTATCACCACCAAAATCAGTTTTGGAGCCAATGTCTCTGCCAGACATCTGGAAATTGAATATGTTTCCATGGCTGAACCTGCGCTTCATTTGATTTGCACTTGCACCATAAGTAAGACCAAGAAGAACCTAAAAGTCCCAAAAAAGGAAAGATGGGGGAAATGGCACATCAAGCAATACATTTCTTGGTAATGATAAAGATTTTTATTTCCCCCATCAGCCATGGAAGAAATTTAAAAAAGGATTTAATTTAGATTTTAAATGACAGTTTCTAAAATCCTATTATATATATAAATATATAATGGCTCATTTTATAGATGTGTAATTTTCTGTAAAAGTAGCAGTTTCATGAACATGTAATTATATATATTAATACATACATAATTTCATACATAATTTTCTCAAAGTTAAACTTTTGCATTGTAACATTATATGCTTCTTTCCCATCCCAAAAGAGATTTTTAAAGATTAAAGAAGCAGATGTTAGCTTATATCTATAAATACAGACAACTGTTTATTAATGGGGCTTTATTTGTGCTTTTGAGCAATTCCTAGATTTACACAATGAATTACCAAATTTTGTGGATCATCAGTGGACGGTGATTTTGGAATTTTTTGATCCTCCACATGATCTTCTACCCCTAAGGACTTATTTTTCTTTCTCCTGTTGTTTCTATCTTTGACTTCTTTTGAGGGTAAAGGTGAGATTTCAAAAGAGCCAAGTGACATTGTATCTTTTCCTCTATCAGCCAATGCCTAAAATTAAACAGACAAAAGCATAATTGGCATTATAGTTGCACAATTTCATATCAGTAAGGGAAAAAATTGCTGTGCTCCATATTTTTTGCTTGTTAACAATAATCATTTCATATAGATGGTTAAAATACTAAC